AGATTCAGGGTTTTTCATATTTCAACCTTTGATACATTTCCTACTTGGCCTTTCAGAAAGAATGTGTCAATTCTCAGTCCTATCAGCAGTGTGGGAGACTCTTTGCCCACATTCTTTCCAACAGTTTGTTAATTTTAGTATCTTATCCAAGAAATTGGATATAAGAATAAATATGAGGAGAAGATGGTTTCAGGAGCTGAGAAGGAAGTTTTCTAAACTGATCATTTTTTTCTGTCTTATTCAATAAAAGAAATGAGACTGAGGCCATCCTACTGTGCAGACTTAAATCATGGCTATGACAATTCATAAACTTTTACCCAGTGTGCAGTCAAAAGAAGGATCAGATATTTTGTACCCATTACCTTAGAGAGGACTTTACAGACTTCCAGCTCCAGGGAGGAGCAGACCTGATGTTTGATTGCAGCTGCATCCCATACTAGCTGTCTGATATTAGGCAAGTTACTATCACCATGTGTGACTCAGTGTCCTGGTCTGTAAAATGGGGACGGTGAAAAGGCCCCTATCTGTGGGAGCAGTTGTGAGAGGCCACAATGAGTTGTGAGTTCCAGTCTGAGATGAAATGTTATAGCTGGGGACCCATTCATCCTTTCAGGATGAGGTGTGAGACCCAGACCCACTCTCTCTGCCTTATTTTATTCTGCCCCTGAGGTCCCTGGTAGTGACAGGATTTCAGAGTTACCTGGATTGTAAAGGACTCCTTAGACCTCAGTCATATATCCTTCTCACCACACATTGGGGAGCCTCTGTGTCCCTCTAAGATCAACTCCCCTTGCCCTTAGCTCCCAACTGTTGCTTAGGGAAGTGGTTTGGGAGGGGGATAATTTGCTGGTACTGAGCTGTCTGAAAGGATAGAGGTGCCTTTGAAAAATGGGGGAAGGAGACAGTCCCTGGGGACACACAAAACCAGGAGAAATCCACCTCAGCATTCTATAAGTGTTCCCTTATAATTTTTTAAAATTTATTGTTGAAAGTATTACAGATGTTCCCCTTCCCCCCA